AGGCTAAAAAAGGCGCTAGTGTCCAATCTGTCTTGATCTGTCCACCTTGTGTTGCCCAGTCATCTGCATTCCACAAGCTGCAGTAAACCTTCATTGGTTGATTCTTTGGAAATGAAATGCCAGATCCTTCATTGTTGTTGAATGCTCTGATGGGGCTACCATCTACCAAGAAACTGTAAACGCACCATAGATATGCAAATATGTTAGAAATTGAGGCAATGATTTTCCATTTTTTGCTTGTTAGAAATAGAAATCATTTAAGGAGATTGTAACTTACATAATCCTCTGAGGGTTCCAAACTATGGAATAAGTGTGGAAGGCTGCAGTTGGATCGAACTGTTGACTTTTGGCCAAATTTCTTATCCCACATCGGTGGGATTAGCTTTTAGGGAGGGGCTTGAGAGTTATAAATTAACTCTCTCCCTTCCCAATTCAAACACACCAAAATTTTGTATTCTTTCTTCTTCCAAATTATTAAGAGTGGGTCGTTTAGGCGGTGTCCGGAGATTAGGCAAAATTGGCCGAACTCCGTTATCAATTTTTGGGTGCGTTCTTTCCTTATCTCTTTTATTTATTCTGCATTTATTTAGTAGTTTCTTTTCAATTGTAGTATAGTATTCAATATATTTGTCGGGTTTATTTGTAGTGTTTTATACGGTTCCTTTGGGTGTATGTTGCTTATTTGTGTGTGCGTATTGTTTATGTATACACGAGTCTGATTGTGATAATACACCGTGCGCGTAAATTCTGCATAGGAGACTGGGTTTTAAGTGGGATCGCTTGTGACCCCTCCAGCCTGAATTTATTTTGAATGGTAATTCTGTCTTAGGAGATTGTTTTAACGATCTTTCTTGGGAATTACTGAATTGGTTTAAATCACTAGTTGAATTTTTGAGTGGGAAATTACCTGGTTTCCCCAACACGAACCACAGACGGAATTGTTGTTCCCTGTTTCCTTTTCCTTGTGCATAAACATTGGTATGAAGTGTATATGGCTGGCCAGATGCATTTCCTAGGACTCGAAATCAATCTCATCGTGCCTTTCGCCTTGAGAAGATAACTGCATTGATGAAAAAATAATAATAATTTTGTCCGTGAAGGCTAAAGAGGTAGCAAAAACTCAGATTTTGTGCCTATGAAATTGGAATACAAAAGGGAGAGCTCTTTTGAAACTCACAAAGAATGTGGTAACTGTGCCAGCTGAATTGCCAGGTACAAATTTGATTTGCATGTCAAATCTACCAAAGAGATAGTCATTTGTGGATTCAAAGCCAGAACCAGATAATTTGTCTAGAGAGAGTGTGAGAAGCTGGCCTGACTTATCTATCTTAGCTCTTCCGTCTCCAAAATTGATCTTGACATCCCGGTAAAAGTTACCGGCTGCTGAGGTTTCCAAGATCAGGCAAGCCATTAGTATGCAAAGCTTAAGCGCTCTTGAAGATGGCGTTTCTAGAGCTTAATTTTGAGGACTAAAGATGAAATGGATTAGTAAATATTATGCAATGTGATGAAATACTGATGCTTGGGGGTTTTGGTAGGAATGCATTTATATAGGTGTGGTTTAGAAGAATGGATCGCTGACTTTCACATTTAGGAAGTATCCAAGAGGGAGGGGAGACAATTTTATGAGTTGGCAATAATAGTTTAGTAAGAATAGGTAATGACAGAGTGTGCAGGTGATCGGTATTCAGAAAGGCTCAAAATCTGTTTGGGTACTTTACATTTCGAAGTAGCTAGCTATGTGCAAACTGGACACAGCTATGGAATACCTGGAATTTTTGAGTTCTTTATTGCTCTTTCAGAACTCAGAAGTACACGAGCAAGTTTTGTGAAATCTGAAGGCTGGAAGTTCCCCAATCCAAGAAGGGCATTTTTTAATACAGAACATGTTACTTTGAGTAATATTTATCCATTGTACACTTGGTTGTCTACACTTTTTGCGGACAGAGTCCCCTCAAGTTAGTTATTAGGAGCTTCAACGGTTGCCTTTTCTAACTCTGTGGGTAATATATAAATATCACTGTCAACAACATCTCACTCATAACAAGATAATAATATGAGGGAAAGGAAAGGAAATCCATGGAGGGATAAGGTTTTTATATGGATTGATTTTTGAAAGGAGAAAGAAAAAGACGGACGAATGTGGGACTTGTTCTATTTTTTTTTTCTTGGCAGATTTAAAAGTGGAAGGAATCGGAGGAAATGGATATAAAGGTTAATGATAATTATGTTACAATTTTCTAAAATACCCTTACTATTGGCAAACTAAATCAAGTCTAGAAGTATTTATTTATTTATTTATTAGTTTTATTGGAGTTAGATTTTTAGTAGTTGTGTGATTTAGGAATTTGTGTTTTATTTAGTAATTTTTTATGCAAGTGGTTTCTTTTCTAACAAATCTGGTAAATTATAAATAGAATATTATTTATGATGTTTTCTTGAGAGAGTCTAGAAAAATTTGCTGAGTTTTCTATTGTGGTGTAAATTTCTTCATTGTTTGAGACTTCAATAATATTATGAGTTGATTATTTTCTTCTCTCCCGCATATATTTTGAGTATTTGCTTTATCCCTTCAATTCTGTAACCCTGCATGCATTGATTATTATTATTAGAACCCTAAAATTTGGATTCTACAATTAATATCAAAGCTAGACTATGAGATTAGTCCTGGACATTTTCACTGTCAGAGAATTAGAATGCAAAATTGCCAAAAAGTATTCAATTAATCGAGTTAGACCACAAAATTGATCCTGAAGTGTGTAGTTGGTGAAGAATTCGACCATAAAATTGGTCTAAAAATTGTTAGATTGTTATGAGTGTGAAGACAGAGATCGGAGAGGAATCCTGTCAGATTTGTTGATTGCTACAGGTTGTTAGATCGAAGGATTTGATTGGTTAATCAACTAGGAGGCTAGGAAAACTTGACAGAGGGGAGAGGAAAATTTATTCAGGTATATAAATTGTTAAATAATGGCAAAATATAATAGAGATTTGATTGATAGTGAAAAATTTTTCATATTGACTCCTATAAGCACAAATAGACAAACATATTTTGGTTGGGTTTTAACAGTGAAAAAATATCTCAAACAGTGTAATTTAGATGATATTCTTTATTGGGTTGATGCAAGTGAGTTGTCAAAACATGTTTTCAAGAAGAAGGCACAATTATTCTTTCAAGTGATATGTAAAACAATGGTAGAAAGTATTTTCAAAACTTTTGTTTGCTGTACTAAAATACTTTGGAGATTTTGGAAGGATATTTACTATGTTTTGCAAATAATTGAGAAAAATTATGCTTTCAAACCGAAGTCTGGTTGTTGGTATTGGTTTGTCGATTTTGAGAATGATAGATTTGTTGATAATATGAATGATATTGAAATTTTTGAATCAGTTGATAGTTTTGATTTGCATATCTTATTTGGAGAAATTGGGAGTGATGAATTTGTTAAAGAAAAACAATGTGGTAATTTGATAAAGAAAACAAGAAAAGTCTGATTTGGTGTATAAAGAAAAAATAATTGTTAAAAATTTTATTGGTTTGGACTCTCTTCAAGATGATGGAAAGATATTTGATTTGATGGATACAGATTTCATTGGGGTTCAAAAATATTTTGCTCCAAAAGAGTTGATTGACAGTATGAAAATTTTGGATGATTGTGGTAGTGGTTAGTTTGAATTATTTGGCGAGTATAGTTTTGACAAGAAAGCAATCTATGATTTTGTATTTTTGGGCACTTACATTAGTGGTAAATATGGTGATTCTAGTGATGAATGGGTTTATATGAGTAAGTACTTTGATCAAAAAGAAATTGCTGAGAAATTATTTGCAAAATACAATGCGCGTCCACTACCACGTGTAAAGATGAAACTAATAACTGGTAACAAGATGGAGTTGCATGTTTGCATAGAGATTGTTGTTCGAGATGGTGTTTGATGTGTCTCAATGGAGAGTTTGGTTAAGGGAGGTAATGTTGCCAAACCAAACCAAGTAAAGAAGTATTTATTTATTTGTTAGTTGTATTGGAATTAGGTTTTTAGTAATTGTGTGATTTAGGAATTTGTGTTTTATTTGGTAATTTATTATGCAAGTGGTTTTTTTCCTAACAAGTCTGGTAGATTATAAATAGAATATTATTTAGGATGTTTTCTTGAAAAAGTCTAGAAGAGTTTGTCAAATTTTCTATTGTGGTTTGACTTTTTTCATTATTTGAGATTTCATTGATATTTTGAGTTGATTATTATCTTCTTTCCCACATATATTTTGAGTGTTTGTTTTATCTCTTCAAATTTATAACTCTGCACATATTGTTTATTATTAGAACCCCAAAATTTGGGTCTACGATTACGCTGTACCATTTTTATCCATGGTGTAATTTATCTTCAATACAATCTCCAAACCATTCTATCACCTAAGACCTACTTTCTTTCTTTTTTGAAAAAAATCGTTCAAAATGTTCCTCACATTTTGCAAGATGATTTTTTTTATCCATCATTTTTAAAAGTGTAATTTTACGTTTCTTATAAATTCACGTTAGTCAAATTTGGTCTCTATCTAAATTTTCGACTAGTTTTCGTTAGAATCCACCATGTGCCTTGCACGTGATCATTTTGAGTGGTAAAATTGCCAAATCACATTTCACATAATCTAATCCATAATCCATCACATCTTACAAAATAAATTTTTCAGTTCATCATATTTTATAAAATGAATTTTTTCATCCATTATTGATCATGTTTAAGAATAGTTTTTTTTTTGAACATATGTATATGTCTACTTAATTTCACCTGATCAGTACAAATAGCATGTAATATATTTCTATTCGATTTCACCTACAACTACAATTAGCTTATTTAAGTGGAATTAAATATAGATATATTATATGTTATTTATACCATTCAGGTGGCCATTTTTACAAGCAAAAGTTGATTTGCATCAGTACAGCAGTACTTAATCCAAGAATAGAGGGCCTCATTCGGATGAAAGAAATCTAGCATCTGGATCACTTCAGCTTCTTCACCCCTTGGACTTGAGAGTCATCACGGAGAAATGGACAGCCGCAACGTCGTCATTTGCGACAATGGCACTGGTTATGTCAAGTGTGGCTTTGCAGGTGAGAATTTTCCCACATCAGTATTTCCCTGCGTTCTTGGAAGGCCAATGCTAAGATATGAAGAATCCCTCATGGAACAAGAAGTCAAGGACATTGTTGTTGGGGATGCTTGTTTGAAACTGAGGCATCAGCTGGATATTTCCTATCCTGTCAACAATGGGATAGTGCAAAATTGGGATGATATGGGCCATGTATGGGATCATGCCTTTTTTAATGAACTGAAGGTAGACCCAACAGAGTGTAAGATCTTGCTCACTGATCCTCCTTTGAACCCATCCAAGAATCGTGAAAAGATGGTTGAGACCATGTTTGAGAAGTACAACTTCGCTGGTGTCTTCATACAAGTTCAAGCTGTTTTAACATTGTATGCTCAAGGTTTGCTTACAGGATTAGTTATTGACTCTGGTGACGGTGTTACGCATGTGGTTCCAGTTGTGGATGGATACTCATTCCCTCATCTCACAAAAAGAATGAATGTGGCTGGACGCCATATTACATCATATCTCGTAGATTTGCTTCAACGAAGAGGGTATGCAATGAATAGAAGTGCTGACTTTGAGACAGTTAGGAATATTAAAGAGAAATTATGCTACATAAGTTATGATTATAAAAGGGAATATCAATTGGGACTTGAGACAACCATCCTTGTTAAGAATTATACACTACCTGATGGAAGGGTGATTAAAGTTGGGACTGAGAGATTCCAGGCATCTGAGGCTCTTTTCACTCCGGAACTGATTGACGTTGAAGGTGATGGAATGGCTGACATGGTGTTTCGCTGCATTCAGGAAATGGATATTGACAACCGCATGATGCTATACCAGCATATTGTTTTGAGTGGAGGAAGTACAATGTATCCTGGGTTACCGAGTCGCTTGGAGAAAGAAATTTTAGATCGCTATGTTGATGTTGTTCTGAAGGGAAACAAAGATGGATTAAAGAAACTGCGGTTGCGGATAGAGGATCCACCACGAAGAAAGCATATGGTATACCTCGGAGGAGCAGTACTTGCAGGAATTATGAAGGATGCACCTGAGTTTTGGATTAGCAGGCAAGATTTTTTAGAAGGAGGAGTTGCGTGTTTAAGCAAGTGTGGCCAGGCATGAGTTCATCTGGCAGAAGTTGTAAAAGGCAGAAGATCTAGAACAGGGTTGCAGTTGGAATTGAAAAGGGTGGATGTATCACTTGGGTGGCGCAGACGAGCTTCATTTTGTTTCCTTAAGGACTTCATTACTTTGCTTGCCTACAAAACAGTGGTCTTGTACTAACATTGAATTTGTTGCCTGTACCATATAGTTCCTACGCTTATAGATGTGTAGTGTAAGTTTTGTGAAGAAAAAAAAATACTATTCAGGTGAAATGAAATAGACATATACATAGGTTTTCAAAAATAAGAAAAAAATTATTTATACACATGATCAATGAGGGATGAAAAAATTCATTTAATGAAATGTGAGGGATGAAAAATTTATTTTATGAAATGTGAGGGATTATGGATAGGATTATGTGAAATACGATTTGACAATTTTGTCCTTAAAAAATGATCACGTGCAAGGCATGTAGTGGATTTTGACCAAACACTAGTCGAAAATCAAATTTGACCAATATAAATTTGTAAGAAATGTAAAATTATACTTTTAAAAGTGAGGGACGAAAAATATTATTTTGCAAAATGTGAGGGACGTTTTGAATAATTTTTCCTTCTTTTTTTTATTTAACTGTTGTCTCAAACTTGTGAATGTTAATGATTTTATTAATGCAAGCTATTATTTGAAGACTTCAATCTTCAATCTTCTATTGACATGTTAATAACAAGAAGAACTATGAAAATTAATCAAAGGTAAATGTAAAGAGGGGAATGATAATAACATTTTCAAGGAAAAAGTCAGGCATAGAGGGAGGGGGTAGAGAGTTCAACGAAGGTAGCAAATTAAGGAGTATGAATAAATTTCTAGGGTAAATTACTAATAACTTCCATATGGTTTCATTTGTTACCACATACAAAATGTTTCAAAATATCCACTTCACCTCTCTATGATTTCATATAAACTAGAAATTTAAGAGAAAATAGTCTATATAACGTAATTAGTTGAAATATCAACAGTGGCTTACTTTAATGCTAACTATGTGTGGATAAATACAAAAATCACAGGAGGCAAAAGTGAGTATTTATGCAAACCATAGGGGGGGTTAAGTGGATGTTATAATTTCATCATATGTACTGTACGCGGTAAAATTTCAAGTCTGCAAACAAAACAAGAAATATACACGACAAATGTGTAATATAAATTTAAGAAAATATGTGAGTACAATCTCTGAGGTTTTCTCGAACTTGTAGAGAGTTTCCCTCGATTCTCCTCCTCGAATGCTAATCCAAGGGCTTCGCAGCTTGTTCTTGGATCCACCACCAATTCCTTCAAATCTTGATATAGAAGATTTGAAAACTTTAGAAGATATTTGAAGACTCAAGTCTTGATATATGGGAGACTTGGAGAGTTTGAAGAGCCGGACCTTTGTAGCTTGGAGCTTCAATGCTTTGAACGTATGAGATGCCTCTTGGTATCTCTGTGTGTCTGTGTCTTTGATTTGGTTGAGAGACTCCTATTTATAGTTGTGGTAAGAGGTAGAGGTTGAAGACTTGTGTACCACTTTACTTGTCTTGCAAGACATGCAGTCATATTAGGACTGTGCTAGTCAAATATTATCTCTTCATTTTATATTTATTAATAAAGAGATAAGTAATTTCTTGATTGGCCAAACTCGTGGGGACACGTGACGTGGCGCCGTTTGACTGGCCAGGCTATTGCAGTACATAAGAAATATACTTTGATTTAAACAACTCTAAATATTATCCCTTTAATAAGAAATAAATATTTAGATATTTATCCAATAAACATGTGATATGATATGATTTGGTTGGTGGAGATATCCCTGCAATTTGAATTGATCTGGAACAGCTCTTCTTGACACGTCCCAAAATATAATTGACCATTTAATAACCAATTTTTCCAAGTGTACATGCCATATGGCAATATCCTATTGGATAAAAAATATTTTATAAACCAATGGTAATTTTTAGAATTTAATTAAAATTTCATTGTCTACAAATGCCCCCTCGAAACTTATGCGTGAATGCTGGATATCGGAGCAAATTTTGAACGGACAAGTTTTGACATATATATTTTTTTGCTTCAATTTGAACACCATTGACATATTAGTTTTCAAGTGAAACCCATAAATGGGCTAAACTTCAAGCTTTGCAAACTTCATATCAATTACTTGTATCACATATGATAGTTACGTGGAATACCACCAATGCATCCCCTATTGAGCTCAATTTCCAAGAACACTAGTGCTTTCAATTTCCCAAGGCCGGATTACTTCATATTGAGATCTTATAATAGAGCCCGTGGATGGACTTAAATTTTTGCAATATCATAGCTTTTGAATTGGTCTTGAGATGGCCATGTGGGTGCCACCCAATCCATGCAAAATTCGGTGATATCAATCCCAGGATCATGCTAAAGCTTTGTCGGACTATCATTTCAAGTAATAGTCTGTTCAATGTCGTAGCTTTACTCAAAGCTTGGCAACTCAAATATCAATTCATGAGCTTTGTTCAGAGCTTTGCAATGCCGTGACTTCTGAATTGGTCATAAAGTGGCCACCAATTTTAATTATAACCATTTGTCCTCAAGAAAGCCCAATATATTGATATGTAGGACATTGCATATTGCATGCTTGATCATTCACGTGTAAGGCACTTTAAAAATGAAATCATATGAATCCAATTGGTCTCATATGCCTCTTGTTGATCAATTCCACACGGAACTCCACCGCTCCGAAATTCGAGACCATTTCTTCTTGTCGGCCTTGGGAACTTATGCAGCAAATCACCAAGAATTCCTCTACTAGGACTCTCGGGTTAACGGCTTCCCTTCCTTGTTAGCTTCAAAGTTCAAGCAATTTAGAAGTCTGAAAACCCAATTGCAAGAGAGACCATCATCAGCGCGAAGCCAATCTCCCTAAAAATTACAAAAACTTCACGAGAAAATCTTTTTCCTTCGACCAAAAGACTTCCAACAGAGACCGAATCCTATCCGGACTAAAGCGACGGGCCTGCTCATTTTTCCTAGGATTTAGGATCAATCCCCCATTATAAATAGCTAAGTCCAGGCTACTAACTCCTTAATAATAAAGAACTTGAACGAGTTTATTCTTTGCTTCATCAAATCATTGTTAGTGTGGCTATTGCTATTACCACCGCCGCTCGCTTGTTTGTCAAACGCTGCTACCATTGGTCAACATCAACCACTATTGCTGCTACTCAATTGGTATCTACCCACTGTTTGCGTTCTGACGAAAACGGTTCCCATTTATCAGGTACCCGAAATTCTACCTTCGGCACTTAATTGTTGAGAGAAACCTCGGCAACAGCTTTTGCATGTTTTACTTTGATTCACCCTTGGTGTCTTGCACATGATTGATACTCGGAACTTGCATCTTACGCATGTTGTGTTGTGAACCCGTAGGATAACATAGCCTTCTAGTCATCTTGCGGCATGACTTCAATTTATTTCAAATCCAATATTTAGCATTATATCTGATTTGCTTGTTTCCCCGTTGCGCATTCAAGAGTCTGGTTTCAATATTGTAAACTTGTTCCTTCGTGTAGCCTTCTTCATGGACACCTTTGTCGAGGCACTTATAAACTAGTTGAATCGGAGGTAACCTCGGAGGCACTTTAAAACTTTCCACCGCAAGAATCAATTATATCATGGCCGCCAGTCATCTCTTTTAGGTGCCCAAAGACCCTTTTCTAGCCCTTAATTATTAGAAGAAACTTTCGGCAATAGACTTCGCGTATTTACTTTGATGCATCCTTGATGTTATGCGTCTATTGTGATAATACTTTTGGCCAATATCACCATGGCTGATGCTTTTATATTTGCATGCATGATTCTTCATCCATGATTATTTTTCGAATACCCGTACCTTCGTCAAGTGGCTCGCTAATAGCCCTTTTTGTCGTGTTAGTTTCCAGCTTCCAACGACAGATCTCCAAGGGGAAGGCTAACCTCGGAGGAGCTTGATAAAAGACTACCAGGTACTCAAAACTTTCCTTTTACTTACAATAATATCTTATTGTTAGAAGAGACTTCGGTCCAGGTGGTTCCGTGGGTGCCATGAATTTAATTATTATTCGAAACTTGCATGTCCACTGAGCCGCGTATTTTAGACTTGTATAATTGCATCGGCTCACATCGCAAGATAGCCTGGCTGTTTGATCCATCTATTAGGATAATACCAGATATGATATCTGAGCCTTTTTTTTTTTTTCATATACTAGGATAATACCAAATATGATATTTGAGCCCTTTTCTCTCTTTTTTTTTTTTGCTCGTCTATTAGGATAATACCAAATATGATATTTGAGAAAACTCTTTTCCCTTCTTTTTCTAGAACTCCGACCTTAATTGTTTTTTTTTTTTGCCCCAATCCATGTCAATATTTCAACTTTACTAACTTGTTCTCCTGTAAATAGCCCATCTCGTGCTTGAAAATGAGCTTGAAACAATTTCGGGGATTTGAAGAGAGCCACCGATTAGGTAATTTAATTACCAAAATTTTGTAAGAAATTCCCTTCATTGTTTAATACTTTCTTTTTCAAAATCCCAGCAATCATGCAAATTAAGGACTACGCCGTGTCACTGCCGCATATTTCACTGACGGATGAACAGGGAGGAACTCAATCAAAGAGCTTGTCACTACATGTTTACAAACCAGCAATCGGCCCGCTCGCTGAATCCTTCATACCTCTTGAAGGATGCTTTCATCTTGAAAATTGGACTAGCAAGTGGACTAAAGAAGTGGTGGTCCCGTCGACTTTCTCTACTACGTCGAGGGAAGAAGAAGTTGTCGTATTAAACTCGTCACTTCACAATGGAGATTCAGAAATAGCCAAATTCACGCTTCCGTTCGTGGTCTTCAATGTTGACAAAGCAACATGGAAAACCCCTTCGTCCTTCTTCGGTGAGACGTGCTTCACCTCCCATTATTGGGAGTGAGTTGAGGACATGCTTGGAAGGTATAAAGACATACTCACACGCGCTGGCATATTTGAAGCCGTCTACGTGTCGAGATACTCCGACGACCGC